ATTGGGATTTTTATTGGAATAACATTTAATCTATTAGTTTGGAGAGAAGTTACATCTTTTAGTATAGACTATGCCAACACATGAACATAATATGTTCTTCTTTTATTTGGGGCTTCTTTATTTCAGTAAGATTTTCAGTTGTATCAAGGCCTCATGTGCCTCTTGTTAGATTTATTCTTTCACTTCTTGATTTTTGGATGTTTTGTAAGTGATATCTTTTTGAAATTTCACATTCAAGTTTCTTTTACTAGTATATAGAAATACAGTTGATTTTTGTATATCGAGCTTATATCCAGCAACTTTACTAAATTTACTTATTTTCATGGTTTGAAAATTCTTTAGGCGATTCTTCAAATGCAGTTAAGTCATCCGCTAATAATGACAGTTTTATTATTATACCTTTCCATCCTTATAAGTTTTAAATTGGTCTTATCACACTCACTAGTACATCTACTAAGGTTGTTTAAAAGTGTTAGGGAACACCCTTGTCTCTTTCTTGGTCCTTGGGAGGAAGCTTTTAGTAATTGACCATTATGTTAGCTATAGGTACTTTACAATTACTTTTTATTATAAAAATTAGCTTTTCTTCCTAGTTTGCTAAGATAATTTAATCAAGAATGAGTGATGATTTTTTGATGTTACAGGAAAAGCACAAGTGATAAAAGAAAAAATTGATAATTTTGATTAATTCTAATCAAAATTAAAATGTGTGCTTCAGAAATCACCAAGAAAGTGAAAGACAAGCCCCAAAAATGAAAAAAATATTTGTAAATCTTATATTTTAGAAAGGGCTTGTATCTAAGATATAACTGTTAGAACTCAGTAAGGAGAAAACAAATTACGTAGTTTAAAAAAATGAGCAAGATTTGAATGGACATTTCACTAGAGCAGCTGTTTGAATGGCCAATAAGCACATGAAAAGTGTTTAACCTCAGTATTAGGGAAATGCAAATTAAAATCCTTATGGATACCACTTCATACTCACTAGAATAGGCATAATAAAAAAGATAGACAATTGCTCGTGACTAGGAAAACAGAGACCCTCATACATTGCTGGTAGAAATGTGAAATGGTGCAGCCAACCTAGGCAAACACCTTGGAAGGATTTTTTTTTTTTCTTTTCTCCAAGTTAAACGAAAATGTACTATATGACCTAGCAATTCTACTTCTTTGTGTTTATCCAAGACAAGTGAAGACATCTGTCCACACAAAAACTTGTAAGTGAATGTCCATATCAGCATTAGTCATAGTAGCCCCAAAGTAGGAATGATATGAATATCTGTCATGTGATGAAGGGATAAGCAAAACATTTGTATATTCATACACTGGAAGACTTACTGCTTATAACATGTATGAACCTGAAAACCATGCCATATGAAAGAAAACAGAAAAGACCACATATTATATGAACTTATTTATAGGAAATGTCCAGAAAAGCCCCAGTTTTAGGAACATAGATTAGTGGTTACATGGTGCTGGGGTGGAAACAGGGAGCGACTTCATATGGGCATAAGAGATTTTTTTGTGTTAATGGAAGTGTTCCAAAATTGGATTGAGATGATGATTGTACAACTCTATGAATTTAGTAAAAATCATTGAATTCTATACTTACAGTGACTGAACTCTATTTTATGTAAATTATTCCTCAGTGAAGATGTTAAGGAATGGATATTGAATTTTATCAAATTCTTTTTCTGCAATAATGAAAATGTATATGATTTTCACCTTTATTTCATTGATTTGGTGAGTCCCTTTAGTGGGCCCTCTTGTTTGTAGTTCCCTCTTCTCCAGGATCTTGACTTCAAAGTTCTGGCTGAGCCAGTAGTGTTCACTGCCAGTGTTTGTCTCCCCAGTTCCAGGAGATTACAGAGATTTCTGAGCTGCTGCTTCCCGCTACGGCTCTTCTACTCTCTTTCCTCAACCAGTTTATAACTCAGTGTATGTTTTGGGGGAAAAGCAGAGGCTTACCATAGTTTCCCCTCTGGCTTTCCAGCCTTTTACTTTCTGGCTGCCTTAGTTACTGAAGCAGCTGGTCTTACATATTTTCTCCAGTGTTTCATGGAAGAATTGGTCTGATGATAACCTGTTCCGTTATAGCTAACAGTGGAAGTCTATGTGAGCTTTTTTTTAAGATGTCAGTATTACAGCATTGCTGTATGGTGTTGGGAACAAACCTCTAAGGAGGGGTACTATTGCTACCAGCTAAGGAGAGAGTTTAAGTGCTGGAGTGAGTGATATCCCCAAGGAGATTAGAAGGGGTTGAATCTGGTGCACAAGGGGATGGATTGGCCTCCCTCATGATGTTACAGGATTCCTTTGGTGCCACTTTGCCAGCCAGAAATCTCTGCTGCCACTGACACCTCTCTGTCCAGGCCTCACTCTGGTCCCCGGGCTTGCCCCGCCCACTTGGCCCAGCAGGTTGTGCTTGGCTTATGCCCACTTGAATCCTGTGCCTGCTCCAACTCCACGCTTAGCTTGAGACTGAACTGGGCATGCCACAAATGGCTTCCGTGTTGGGTGCTGGTGTCTAGACAAGGAGAATGTGGTGTCGCCCAAACACTCAGAGATGCCAGCAGTCATGGAACCCCAAGGGGTGTTACAACTCTTGCTCGGGGAGTCCCGAGGTCTGGGCCCCCAGAAATGTTGCAGCTGTTCACTGAACCTTAGTTCAGTGAATGGGAATGTGTTACAGCTCTCTTTCTCCCGTAGTTTGGCTAGGAGGAGCATGGTACAGCTCTTTTATTCTCGTTGTCCACAGCTCAGCGAGCCGGCCAGGGGCGTGTCACAGTCCTTTCATTCATGTCACCCACAGCTCCACGAGTTCCAGGTTCTTGTCCCGTGACCAATAGGAATGAGGTGTGTGGACACCAGAGAGTGAGTAAGGCAGAGAAAAATTTTATTGAGTGACAGAAAGAAAGCTCTCAGCTGTGAGAGGGGACCCAAAGTGGGTAATTGCCTGTGAGGCTGAATCTGGGGTTTTTATGGGTTAGAATAGGGGAGTGTGTGCTGATTGGTCCCTGGGTGGGCTTGGAAAAAGCACTGTTTGATTGGTTAAAAGGAACCAATTTTATCATCCTGAAGGAACCAATCAAGAGAGTGAGGGTAATATGGGGATAGAAGTTCTCTCTCTGTTTGTGGACTCTGCAACCAGCGGCTCAGTTTTTAGGCTTTAAACTGTCTTTGGCTTGAAGGTTGAGTTTCACTGGGAACCCATCCCTTTCTGTGTAGGAATTTGTCTGTCTCCTGTCACTCTCAATGAGTTAATCATTCATAGTAACAGGAGCCAGGGCAGAATGTATGCATTCAAGTCCTGGGTGGATAGCTTTGGTGTTAGGTAGTAGTAGAATTTCTTTTCTGGCTTTTGGTAGGATTGATAAGAGGTTTTGAGATTTGTCAAGAGAGAAGTTGTGAAGTGGTTGAACTCAGGAAATACAGTAGGATTGCTGGGCAGCAGAATGGCCCACTTGAGATGAGTGGTCATAAATGTAAAAGATTTAAATTTAAGAAGTAATAGAAAAAAAAAAAGACGTAATGGAAGTGAGAAATACTGGGCCTTAAAGAAGAGTTTGGCACCAGGGTTTTGCCAGCATTTTTCTTTGTTACGTTTCTTCATGGAAAACTTAACTGTGAAGACACATATCAGGCATCCCAGAACACTTAAAGATTCACATGTTTAGCACCCACCACCCAACCTGAGCAATAGAGTATTACAAACAAAGTCCTCTGTGTACTCATAGCCAGTCACACCCCAGCCCCCATAACTACCAACTGAATTTATAATTTCCGTGTGCTTTATATCCCTGAACAGCATTATTGTTTTAAACATTTATGTTCATCATCCTGTGTATCTTTTTGTAATTATGCTTTTTCACTAATATTATTCATTAGATTTATCTGTATTTACTGTAGTTCTTTCACATTCATGCTACCCAGGTAACATTCTGTTTATAATTATGTCCTTGTTTTATTAATTCTCCACATATCCTGTGGATGGATATTTAGGTTATATCCATTTTTCTTTTGCTAGTCTTTATATGCTCCCTTGAATGTAATTATATGTATTTTCTTGTGTATGTGAGAGATTTTCTAGGATATGCATATCTAAGACCTGATGGATGCTAGGATATGTGCTTTGTGAACTCTGGTTCTCACTCCCCCTAAAAGTGTGTGACATCATAATGCCCCTGCTCCAGCCCTTATGATACTATATATCATCATGATCGATTTATAATAGACTAATGGGGTAAATAGCTAAGTGTATGCCCTCTACACTGGAATTTTACTTTGTTGTTTGCCTGTTTGTTTAATTGGGGACCCATCTTCTCTTTGATCTCAGAGTTAATGATCCCTTAAGGCATTCCATGTGTTTATTTTTCTCTGTTCCAAAGTTACGATTCTGTAGTAGTCATAATTATGAAATTGTCAGTTTGTTAATACTTTAAATCTACACTTCTCCCATGTGGTTGACAGTTCCCAAGGCAGGCATCCATGAAGTCAAAGGGACTGACCGAAGTGTGATCTGCCCTTTTTGCTGGGTTCGCATTTGTGCTAATACACTGCAGAAATGGTGGTAAACTGACAGGGCTTTGCAAGAAGCAAGGTTTTATCACCAATTTGTTGTTATTTATGTTAACATTAATGAGTTCATTTGTATTTTTAAATGAATAAACACTGAAACAATTTCTTAGTTTTGATTTCTAATAGAGTAACTATAGATCAGTAGATGCCAACCATAGTGTCTTCTTTGAAGAACGTGAAGGAGTCTAAGACCAGAAAGCTGGAGAAGCACTGCTTTAAGCACATGGTAGACGTATGAATAGTCAAATACTTTATTCTTGCTGATAAGGCCACTGGGAAGGAAAACTTAAGTAATGTCATTCTATTAAAAGATGAATTAGATTGATCTTGAAGTTGTATTTTAATCTTAAGTAAATTTTTAATTATTTGCCTTAAAATTTTGTTTACAACTAGATTATATTTGTAAATAAAATACTTTGCAGGTGCTGACCTTAAGGAAAGAGCCAAAATGAGTTCCGGTGAAGTTGGTCCTTTTGTCTCCAAAATAAGAGCAATGATTAATGATATTGGTAAGCACTATTAAATTATTCTTTCAGCATGCCAAAGGTGTTCTTAAAAGTCAGGTTTAAAAAGTTACACATTACAGTATATATATGTAAGTGTTGGTTAAATATTTATATAATTATCTAATCATTAACTATACCTGTTCATTTTAAAATGACACTTAATATATTTAATTTCAAAATTATGTAAAATATTTAATAATTACAAATGTCTTATGTATGATAGCATATGAAGGTATTTATTAGACAGTAATTTGGCATAAGCCTTTGACTTACAGTATCTATATTTCTTTATATGTGCAAACATAGGTTAGGGATTCCTTTGTTTTATGTACATATGGGATCATACTTTTTTAGAATTACAGTAACTTATTTTATTATTTTTATTTTTAATTTACTGCTGTATATTAATCCAGTCTTATCCCAAATTTTAAGTTATTTCTTCATTAATGAGCATTTAGCTTTTTTCCTCTGTTTATGCTATTTATAATAAGGTAGTGAATACCTTTGTACATAAGCATGGATTCTTAAACAGGGAATCACTGTTCCAGTTATCCTTTGTTCATTTTATATTTTAATATTTATAAATTCTACAAAATTACATTCCAAAAAAAGGTAATTTATATTCCCATCAGTTAAAGACAGTATCTGTTTCCCCATATTCCTGCCAGCATTTAATGTTGCTATTTCTGATTTTTTCTAGAGATAAGGTCTCACTTTATCACCCAGGCTGGAATGCAGAGGCACGATCATAACTCACTGTAGCCTCCAGCTCCTGGGCTCAGGAGACTCTCCTGCCTCAGCCACCTAAGTAGTTAGGACTACAGGTGTGCACCACCAGGCCTGGCTGATTTTTAATTTTCTTGTAGAGATGGGGAGGTCTCACCATGTTTCCCTGGCTGATCCTGAACTCCCGCCTTAAGCGATCCTCCTGTCTTCCCACAGTGCTGGGGTTCCATGTGTGAGCCACATTGCTCAGCCTTTTCTTCATTTGTAAATTGCCTTTTCACGTCCTTCATCCTCCTTTTACAGAATTATTTAATAGCTACTTGTTTACTTAAAAGACATTTCTATATTCTTTGTTTTAAATGTTATAGACATTCCTCTAATGTGCTTAATTTGATTCCAGTATCTTTAAATTTAAAGCTTTTACTATTTAGATGATGCTATATTCTCTTTATTATTCTTTTTCCTTGAAGATTTTCTCTGTTGAGTCTCACACATCAGTTTTTCTAAGTGAATTTAGAATTATTTTTTAAGGCAAAGGGGAAAAAATGTCTAAATATGTCTAAATTGCAGTTGTGATTGGAATTTTATTAATTTTTCAATACAATTTTGACATTTTTATGATAGTAAATCTATCCGTGATGTGCTTGGCTTTTATTTTTGAGGGTCATTCTTTTTTTAATGTCTTTCAAGGAAATTTTGTGCTTTTCTGTACATTGGCCTTGGTCTTATATCTTTTTTTCCCCCCGTAACTGTTTATAGCATTTATTCCTTTGAATGAGACCTTCTCCTTGTTTCTGTTGCAGTCTTGTTATTATAGTCTGTAGGAGAGTTATTAACTTTTTTTTTTTTTTGAGGAGTCTTACTCTTTCGCCAGGCTGGAGTGCAGTGGCGTGATCTTGGCTCACTGCAGCTTCCGTGTCTTGGGTTCAAGCGATTCTCCTGCCTCAGCCTCCTGAGTAGCAGGGACTAGAGGTGCATACCACCGCACTCAGCTAAGTTTTGTATTTTTATTAGAGATGGGGCTTCACCATGTTAGCCAGAATGGTCTTGATTTCTTGGTCTCATGATCTGCCCGTCTTGGCCTCCCAGAGTGCTGGGATTACAGGCGTGAGCCACTGTGCCCAGCCAAAAGTTGTTAACTTTTATGTGCTTATTTCATATCTTGTCAGCTCTATAATTATTTGTGGTAATTATTGTTAATTTTCTTGTGCTTTCAGTTGAAAAGTATAATACCTATAGATAATTACCTACCACTAATGTAATTTTTATCTCCCCTGCAACATTTTAACCTTACATAGTCATATTTTTTCATATTGGCTCAGGCCCTCATAGAATATTCATTTGTTAAGGTGAGCATGATCATCCTTATCTTTCTTTGACTTTGGTGGGTGCCTTTAATATTTTGCCAGTAATTATGATATTCAGGCAGTTCTCTTCTATTTCATCGTGTTAGGAGATTGCTTCTGTTTTTTAATCAAGAATAAGTGTTAAAGTTTGTTCAAATGCTTTTAAAATATGTGTCAGGATTATAATTGATGTATGTTAGTGTTTGCCTTATTTAGCCTTTATTATATTGAGTTGTATTAATAGATTTACTAATATTGCACTGGCCATACATTACTAGGATAAGCCCTACCTGGTCATTGTGGTTAGGGGTGGTATCATAAAGGAGATTGAGCTCTTAATTTTGTTTTGTGTGTGTGTGTGTGTGTTTTTTTTTTTTTTTTTTTTTTGGTTTGGTGTCAAGGTTATTTGCCTTCATAGAATGAGCTGAAAAGCTTTCCATGTTTTTCTATGCTATACACAGAACAAGTAATGTTACTTGAAAGAACTGTAGAATTTGACCATTTAACACCTTTTTGCATCTTGTATGGTTTTGTCATTGTTTTCTCACTTTCTTAGAATTAAAGTTTTAAAAATATGTGTTTTGATTTCTATAATGGCTTTTGGCTTAGCTGCCTATTCTGCCTCTTCTCGTTCTGTGCTGGTATTGTCTTAGGTCCTGTTTTTCTCCCCAGCTCCAGCCTCATGTTTCGGTACCTTTTGACACAGAGCATATGAACATTGTTTAGAAGTTGGTCAGAGAGCTTGATCTTAGAAGTATAAGTTGATGCTGCCTGTAAGTTTATATGTATGGAAGGGGGTGGCTAAGATTGGTTTCATTGTTAAAATTACCTTGATATTTGTCCCAGAGTGTCTTTCTGTTTAATGGATTCTGAAATTGGGAATTTTCTGGAAGTCTTTCTGTCTTTGCAGTAGCATTTTCTTTTATGTGATCATAGTTGTAGCTTTTCTTTTCTGGGCTAGTTCTTATCTCCATTTTTTCTTGTGAGCTCTCTTGATATTTATTAATGATACTTTTTATTATAACATTACAGTAGACTTAAATTTTTCAAACTATTTTTTGTGATGATTCCTTGAGATTTTGAAGGACATGTAGAAACTAAGTACTTAATAGAATCCATTCATTTAATATGTTAAAAATCACAGACAGGTAGACTTTATCTTGAAGGCCATATAGTAAATATTGTAGGTTTTGTGGGGCTGTGTGGTCTCTGTTGCAGCTATACAGTTCTGACTTCATAGTATGAAAGCAACCATAGATGATGTATCAGCAAATGTGTATGGCTCTGTTTCAATACTGCTTTATTTATGCATACCAAAATTTGAGTTTCATTTGATTTTTATGCATTATGAAACAATATTTTTATTTTTTGTTTTTTCCTCCAGCCATTTAAAAATGTGAAAACCATTCTTAGCTCACAGGTTGTACTAAAACAGGCAGTGGGCCTGATTTTTCTTTGAATCTCATGTGTCTTCTATCTTCATTTTCCCTGTTGTTTAGAATTAATTCTTCTCTTCTTTTTGTAATGTTTAAGAAATTTCACTTCAGTTCTAATTTGAACAACTTGATGCACGCTTGGCTCATGTCTTTTTCATTGGGTTTTGCTGCTTGGAGACATAATGATTTTAATTTCAAGGTCTTTGCTTTGATAGGGAGTTTAAAATATTGTATCTTGGGGTTTTGTATTCTTGGTAAAATTTGGGGAATAAGAATGGAACATAAAATTTGCAAATGAATAGGGAGGTGGTGGAAGGAGTAGTAAGAAAAAACTAAACAAAATGAAAGATAAGTTCATCCAATCTTAAAAAAATGTGAAGAGAAAAAATAGCATAAACTTAGAACATATTAAATAGCAAGATGTTGAAGTAAGTCCAGTAGTCACTATTAATGTCAGTTGATTAAACTTGCTATTTAAAGACAGATACTCAGATTTGAATAAATAATTGACATCAGCTGAATATTGTTAATTATAGCCACATCTGGTGTACCTCTTTTTGTACCAGAAGATTACTAGCCAAAAGAAAGATACAACCTCAGTTCTTCCTTCCTCAGAAGAAAGAATTCAGCTGAGGGGCTTAAGGCGAGAGGAGAGACTGAGGCAAGTTTTAGAGCAGGAGTGAAAGTTTATTAAAGGAGCTTTAGAGCAGAAACGAGAAGAACTTGCACAAGGGTCAAGTAGGCGACTTGAGAGATCAAGCATGCCATTTGACCTTTTGACTTGGGGTTTTATATGTTGGCATTCTTCTGGGGTCTTCTGTTACACCTCCTGTGATTCCTCCTTTGGGGTGGGCTGTCTGCCTGCGCGGTGGCCTGCCAGCCCTTGGGAGGGGCTGCATGTGCAGTGTGTTTACTAAAGTTGTTCACTTGCCTACTTGAGACGCTTCCCTGCTTTGCAGTCCAGTGTTCCTAGAGGGAGGTCTTCCGCCATTTTGCCTCTCAATGCGTGTGCTCAAGTGCACTTGCCCAGCTCCTGAGACCCTTTTGGGAAGCTGCTGATCACCAGTTTCAGATATTTCTATCTGCTAGGAGACTGCCTTTCTCTGGTGCTGGCTGTGACCAATTATTGTTTTAGAGAGACAGTTAACCACTTGACCATCATATGGTCACCTGACATTCCTGGTTTTGTGTGTGTGTGTGTGTGTGTGTGTGTGTGTGTGTGTGTGTGTGTGTGGTGTGGTGTGTGGTATGTGTGGTGTGTGTGTTTTTTGGGCGGGGAGTCCTCTCCAGCTCTTCTTGTGTCTGACTAGCTATCTGCTGTAACAGTACTTGAGGGGAATTTACAACATTAAATCCATAAGTTAGCAAGGAGATGTCACTGACGGTAAATAGCTAAGCATTACCTTAAAAAGATTTTTAAAAGTTTTAAGTTCAAAGCATGTTGAACTAAAGCAACAATACAAGGATTAGAAATGAGTAAAATGGAAGACAGAGA